CCTCACACCTCGGGAGGGTCTCCAAGGCCAGGTTCCCAGCCTCCAATGCAGTTTTTTTAAATACCTCCCCTCTTTCCACTCATCACAGATATTCTAAACAGTCCCTTCTGGGAATGGATCTCACATCCAAGAAAGCATCACCGTGTTGTTGTTGTTAGAAGCAAATATTTGCACTCTATAATTTTATTGTTACCTTTAACACGCAGACTAGATGTTCTGACAGGGAATTACTAGCAGCTTTACTGAACATGAGAAGTAAAGTGAAAGTTTTCTCTTGTGTAGCAAAAGATACTCTTCTTTGGCCACTGCTTCATAATCTCTGAAATTTCCTAGTAACAATTCCTCACCCTAGAAAACGAATTCCTCCAACAAAAGCAAACCTCTCTTATACACTTGAAATGTCCAGGATGAAGGGAGGCACTGTTCCTGTCTCTGAATTGCTTCTTTTTGAGCAGAGTTGGGGCTCTCTGCATTATTTATCTGCAGCTTGGCCTGGTTTGTTACTTGCCCTGCAAGCCCTTTGTGTAGGCGGCACTGCAGCCTGCGCAGGTGCAAACATACCTGCATTTCTGAGACACTAAGCACTGCTTCCCAAGCCGTGGCCAACAGAGAGCTCAGGGTTCAGGATCAGGTTGGATGTGAAATTTGGACTGGCCACTTACTAGCTCGGTAACTCTGGACACATTTTCTTAACTAAGCTCTAAGCCTCAGCTGCCTCACCTGTACAATGGGATACTAACAGTCTCTACCTCTTAGAGTTGTGTGATAAACTTGGGAATTCTGTATCCTAGTGCATATTATTCCCCTTGCTGGTGCTGTGGTCCCACATTACTCATTTAACCAGTTCATGCTTCAGTTCTCTTGACTGTGATGTAACAAAGGGGTGGTTTTGTCCTGGGCTCGCTGTGCGGATAGACGGCACGGTAATTTCAAGGAGCTCTGTTAAAAACCAAACTGTAACATACCACCCTTGTTTTTCTAACACGGTCCTCTTTTGTTATAAGGAAATTAATGTCCAAAAAGCTACTTTTCCCTTATTCCTTCTTTTTCAGGAAAAATCCAGACTGAGCCCAAGCTCAGACCCAAGTTTCTGACATCTCAGAAATTCATGCAGCAAATAACACAACTGAGTGAAAACATGGATGCGTTTTTTGCTAGACGTTTTAAGAGGGAAAATCAATAAACTTCAAAGATGCACAAAAAGTTCACGAGAACACTCAGCTTATTAAGATTTCATCCCAATCTATTTTCTGCTTTTAAAACCCATATTTAATAAAGGCACCCTGGACCAGCTGGTGTGGCTCAGTGGTTGAGCATCGACCCATGCACCAAGAGGTTGCCAGTTCCATTCCTGGTCAGGGCGCATGCCTGGGGGTTGTGGGCCCGATCCCCAGTGGGGAGCATGCAGGAGGTGGCCAATCGATGTTCTCTCTCATTGATGTTTCTCTCTCTCTTTCTCCCTCCCTCTCTAAAATCAATAAAGGAAAAATAAATAAATAAAGGCACCCTGGCTGGTTTGGCTCAGCGGTTAGAGCACTGGCCCTCTGACCAAAGGGTCACGGGTTCAATTCCTAGTCAAGGGCATGTACCTGGGTTGCAGGTTCAATCCCTGGCCCTGGCTGGGATGGTGTGGGAGGCAACCAACCAATATGTCTCTCTCATATCAATGCCCCCCCCCCATTATCTAAAATTCAATGGAAAAATTCCTTGAGTAAGGACTAACAACAAAAACATTATAAAAATAAAAAATAAAGGTACCCTTTAATAAAATAATGGAACACATTTAGAGTTATTTTTAGCTTGACCAAAAAATACAGCTGATATCCTGCTCATCTAAATTTTCTCTTCCTGCTTCTTGTTTCTGGGTTTGCTTCCTCCTCAAACAGCAAGTTCGAGACATTCAAATGAGACGTTTTAGACTCTGGTGATGAACCTGAACCTCCTGAAGAACACACCAGTATGTTTTGAGAGTTGTTCACAACAACAACAACAACAACAACAAAAATTATTGTTTTCTGAGATGATATTTTCTCTCTTTGGTGAGTGTTCCCTGTAGGAGTACCTGAGTTTTACATGTAGAGTGTTTGTAGAATGAAAAGATGGCACCTGAATTGTGTAGGTGCCCACTCGCACTGTGCCACGGTCTCATTCGCTCGGTGAGCACCTGAACATCAGGTGGGGGCTGGGACCCATGACTCTGTGTTCCTCCCTATCCCTCCTGCCATGTGTGTTATGGCCCATGTGCTCCGTAACATGTGTCATGTTGTACAAACTCTGTAATTTCAAATCCTCAACAACTTATCCATGAACATACTGTCTTTATCTTATACAATGTTTTTTGGTTTAGATGTAAGGCTAATGCCAAATTTCTTAAGCGCTATTGGGAACATATCCAAAACATAGATTTTAGCGACTTGTCAGTTTATAAATGTATTCACTCATCCACTGAAAAACAGTCCTGAGTGCCCTGGTTGGTTTGGCTCAGAGGTTGGAGCGTCGGCCTGTGGTCCAGAGAGACCTGGGTTCTGTTCCCGCTAAGGTCATGTACCTCGGTTGCAGTTTGTCCCGGGCCCTGGTTGGGTCATGCGGGTGGCAGCCACTCGATGTGTCCCTTTCATGTCGATGTTTCTCTCTCTCTGACCCACTGTATCTGAACGAAAAAAAATAGGAAAAATGTCCTTGGGTGAGGATTAAAAAAAACACAACAGTCCTCAGCACCTCTTAGATGCATGTGGGATGAGTCCATCTATCCAGGTCACGGCCTCTTGGAGCACGGATGATTCAGGGGTGCCAGAGAGGTGAGGAAGGTAAGGAAGTAGGAGTTTTAGGGGCACCCCTCCCACATTTGGGAAGTTGGGAGGCTTCCTCTAGAAAAGTGGCCTCTATTGCCAGTTCACTTCATAACACTGAGATGACTGTCAAAGACAAAAGTTAAGCCCTTCTTTTTGGGAGAATGTGAAAGAGCAGGACGCCATTTAAATTCACCTTATTGAAAAAAAAAATTACCTCAAACCATGATGCTTCAACACTTAGGACGATGAGATGACTTGATTATGCTTATGGATAAGGGGCACCCTTTAGAGAATAATCGCCCAGCACATAGAGCCCTGACATCTACATCCTCATTACTCTAACAAGTCCAGGCAGTGGTCCCTATGGACTGCTCAGCGTTTGATTTCCTAGCCTGTGCAGGCACAGGGTGCTGACTTTAATACTGAAGGTTCAAGACAGGGGTATTTTGGGAAGCCCAGTCATTTACAAAGCGCTTTAAATTGGCCATCTGCTCCATGCACCTTCTAAGGTGGTTCCCAGACACCATATTTGTAAATGAGTGGGCACAGCAAGTGAATGCCATGCTGGCCTGGGGCGGATGAGGCACAGACCTGCACAGTTGAATGACAAATGAGAGGGCACTCTGTCCACCCAGGAAGATGTGCTTGGCAGCATTCTGAGGACCCGGCGACCTTCTCTGCACAAGTCAGCTGTGGGAGTGGGAGAGCCTGAGGCTTCCTTGAAGCAAAGACCCTAATTTTGGATCTGGGCACGGCCGTACTATTAGAAGAAAAACAAATCTTGCATCGGCGGAAAATGTGATAAATCTTAGCATTTATTTTGGCGCTTGCAATCTGGAGGTTTTCTCTTTTTAAAACATAGAAATCTTCCTGAATATTTTACTTGGGTCACTCCAATTCCCTTCACAGAACTAAAAATAAATGAACCATTCAATATGATTCTTAGCCCCAAGGCCAGCTTCCCAAACTGTATTCAGAAAGATACTGATGATTTAACTACTTACTGTTTGAACATACATTTTTTTCTAATAATCCAAAAGCTGTAATTACAGTAGAACAAGCTGGCAGAGCCAGCAGATTTAACCCCTAGTGAATAAGTCTGCATTATGTTAACTGTGGGCCAGTATGTCCCATCAGACAGCAAGTTCCCATTAGCCCGCGAGGCCGCAATAAAAGGCTGGGCTGATGACCACAGCACCCATGATGAGAAATCTATGTATACCCATCAAAAATCTTCCCAGATTAAAGTGAAACAGGAAAAAAATAAAAACAAAAACCAAGAATATGTACTTTTTGGGAAAAAAAAGAAGTTTCCATAGTGGCAGATAAAGAAATCTGGCTTTTATTCTTCACACTGGCTAAGGGTGTCCTTGATTAAAACAAACTGCCTCATTTTAATGTGCCAAAAATCTGTTCTTCTTGCCCTTGCTCCCCACCCCTTTGGAAAGAAACAAGGAAAAAGCTCCCTCTCTGCTCCTCTCGGCAGGTTAGTGGCACCTGTGTTCTGATTTATTGCACAAGCTGCCTTCCCCGGCCCCGTGAAAAGTTAGGGTATCAGCCCGGAAGGTGACCCAGCAGGAGTGACCTTTCACTAATCACTGCACCCCGGCTACTACTGACACAGCTCATTAGAAACAGAAACCCTTCATGAGCTGGCTTTCAAATCCAGCTGCACTTTGATTTTCTCAAGAACAAAGATTATACTTTTGCCTGAAAGCGTCTGATGCCCAATTCTGTCAACTGGGGTACGACAGTGAAAAAGGTCCCCTGCTAATTGTCTGTGGATGTCAAGGGATGGCAAACCGTAGCAAGGATAGGCCTGCAATCTTGGCTTTCATTATGGAGGTCAGACCGTTCTTATTGACTGCCTATTATTAACATTTTAGAAGGCTGTTCATCATTTTGGCTGCCCTGGATATAAGAATCTTGCTGGAAATTCCCCAGCAACCCATCCCATTTTTAAAAAGAAGAAAATGAGTCTACTATGCAGGGATTCTCGGTGCCCTCGTGGTATAGCTGTTGGAAACGCCAGAGGTAGGAGAGCAACCTTCCAACAGCTGGTCTAATTTTAACACCTAAGCCAGAAAGGAATCGGGCTGGTAATTGCTCTTTGTTCTTCGGGTTCCCTGATGCTTTCCTTTGCCCTCTGAACCTGCTCAAATTCAGACAACAGCACCGTCAAAAGGAAAGGCCTGGTTCATGACTTACCAGCCATTTGCTGAATGCCGCTGAATGCGCCCAGGTTGCTGGAGGAGGTGGCCTGCTGCAGAAGCTGCGAACGAAGGGGAGAGGAACTGTCAACACATGGAGATGAGGGCAACGCAACTTCCGAATTAAATCACCGACACGTCCCGTTTCCTTTACGTTTATCTAGCTGGTTGCTGCTGTCTCTTAATGGACTGAAGGTTCCCAGAGTTGGGGCTGTAAATCCATAGTAACGTCTAATCTCTATTAAGAAACACAGACACTAGGGAAACTCAATAACACTGCTGCCTTAAAACAATTAATCAATTCACTCTTTTTAACAACCAGGTGTTAAATCTATTGAAACCAACATGGCATGACTAATGCTCCCTCTCTGTAGTCTTGTAGTTACTGTAACTCCTCTGTCAATCAAGGGCTGTCCCTCTTCCACTTCCCTTAGCAGCTCAGTTTCCTTCATCCAGTATCAGAAGCACTGATTCTTGGGCCAACAGAGAAATCATCCTGGTAACTACAGACAGAATGCTCTATTCACAGCCATGACTGCATGACCAAGACAGTGGTCACCCATTTTAAGATGGTCTTCACTGGCAGTGAGAAACATATTGTTTGTAGCCTGGCAGGTGTGACTCAGTGGACTGAGTGTTGTCCCATGGACTGAGAGGTCTCGGTTTGATTCCCAGTCAGGGCACATGCACAGGTTGTGAGCTCAATCCCCAGTAGGGGGCGTGCAGGAGGGAGCTGATCAACGTGTCTCTCTCAGATGGATGGTTCTATTTCTCTCTCTCTAAAAAAATCAATACAAACATATTAAAAAAAAAAAAAAGAACTTAGAAGAATCTGGTGTGACATTGGATTATGCATTATAAATAAGTCAGCATCACAGTTTCTGCCACATAGAATCAGTGGCTACCACAAGGTAATGGCATGTGGTTACTGTCCTAAAATGCTCCTTTATTTGCCCATCTGACTTGAATTACTGGTTAACACTTAGGCGCTATACTAAACATTTGACTAGATTTACCGATATTCTCTTTCTATTGAAGTTGATCAATACAGACATACTTATATATAGGAACAAGCATATAGTTACCTCCTCTGCTCAAATGTATAGGAACACCAAAAAGCATAGATTCACACCAAATTCATTATTGAAAAATTGTCAAAACTGAAAAATGTGCTTCGGAGGAAAAGATCAATTCACTATTTAAAAAAGAGCCTTCAGAATGCATCTGGAATAACCAAACGCAGAGGACCACCATTCCTCGGGGCCGGTGAAGGGCTCTTCAGTTCAAGAAGGAAAAGCCCTGTGATAACTAGAACTCCAAAACAGGTGCCTATCCATTCACCTGAAAGCACAGGGCAGAGTGGAGTATCAGCGGCTAATTAAACCGAAGACTTAGTGACAATGACGTTATGGGGATTAACATGAACAGTTCCCAGAAAAAGGTCTCTAATGTCCACTCCTCCCTCCTAGCCTGCTGGAACACAGGTGGGCACGCGTAGGTTCACAGCTGGGAGTACACGACACGGTTTATTCTTGTGCTTTTGTTTATTTACTATTGTATGTATTTGGATTCTTTGTCTTATTATTACTATTATTTTATCTTACTTATGATTTATGTTTTAGGTAATGAAGGCTGGTGATTTAACCTGCTTTTGCCCACCCCCGTATAATACCTAAGTATCACAGAGAGAGACAGAGACAGACAGATAGGCAAACAGACAGACAGATGAAGAGAGGGAAGAAGAGGGAGAAGCCAGAGATTATCTATTTTAATCAAAAACTCCCTTATTTTGGTTTGATTACTTAGGTTTCCCATTCTCTTGGGATTGCAGCCCCTTACCCCCCCCTCCTATGAGATATTTTTTAAAATGAAAGTTAAGTGAAATTAAATAAAGTTTGAAGGTATTTTGAGGAATTAGTAAAACCTACTGAGGTAAGCGGAGTGAAGTGTCATTCAACTAACTACTCCCGAGGGTCCGTCCACGGGCAGCCATTCTGCCGTGCGCCGGAGCCGGAACCTGCCCCTCCACACAGAGGCAGGGCATGCCCGGGGCCAAGAGCCCTACAGAAATGGACTTTCTATTCCAAGCAGGAGGACCAGAGTTAAGAGTGCATAGAAATATGCTTTCAAAAGGAGGATAAGACTCATTCTCTTCCAGGGTACAGAAATCATTTGCCTTTGTGCCCAAAAAAACAGAGCCAGAGACTTCTGTGGGCGTGGGGCTGGGACCCGTGCCAGAGACCTGGACCGGCACATGTGTCTTGGTTTTTGGAAATGGTGGAGTGGGCAGCTGGATTCATAGAAATTAGGAAAACGTGAACTTGACTTCAATCTCTGATTAAAAATAAAAAAACGTGTATATGCCATTAAAGAGATGGTCGGTGAACATCTTAAAAACACAAGTTTGTGAAAAACAAATTATTAAGTAAAACTCGCTTTTTTATTTATTAATTTTTTCCATAAAATTTCGACACTGATAGATCAAGAAGACATGGCGGAGCATGGCTAGATTTTAGCAAGACATCTGGCCACATCTCTTGTCGCGTCTCCGTGGAGAAACGGCATGAAGACGACAGTTATTCGGTCAATGGTTTTATTAAGGGCTCAGGTGAAGACAGAAGAAGCACGCTCCTCGTTTGTGAATTTAATTAACGTATCCAGTAGCTCTCGAATGCAGGACCCCGTAGGCACTGGGCAGGGGTGGGGGGAAAAGGGATACGAGCCACAGCTGTTTTCTGAGAAGCAGCGTGGAAAGAAGGAGCGAACACACAAGGGTGCGTCCCCGCAGCAGGATCCTGGGTCGGGTGATGGAACCTTTCTGAGTCTCTCTCTTCTCCCCTGTACAGAGGGGTGGTCTGAGCTGTCAGGGCAACAGGAAAGACTGTTTCGAAGAACAGTACAGGTTCTGCAACCACGTGAGTCTAATGGGTGATACAATTCCGAGGACAGTTAAAGGTCAAATGACAGAGTTAGGACAGAGACACAGACACACACACACACACACTGACAGAGACTGGGCAAAAAGTCCAATCTCACAACATGAAAATGTATTAATAAACATGGAGACCAGCATTTAGGTTCCAAAACAGAAAAACGGAGCCGAGGGGCATGGTTTGGCAGTAGTTCAAGCAAAGACAAATAGAAACGTAGAGGCGTATTAGCTGCCTTCCTGTTGCACGTGACACGGTTACTACAAACGCCAGTCCCGAGCTCCAGCAAGAGATTTCAGAGTCCACACCGGGGTCAGTGCTCTGTGCTGCTCGGGTCTTACAAGGGGAAATGTCTTCAATTCTGGGAAATGACTGTGTTTCAATAAAGACACTAACAGAGTGAAATGGGAGGCTCTCAGGAAAACCACCAAAGTGAAAGTTTTGATGGGAGGGACGACTAGAAGAATTGGTCTCTTTGGCTTGAAAGAGGATCTAGTTTTTTGGTATCAAACAGACAAAGTGAAAAATATTCAATCTGGTCAACAGGGCTCCACCGGGAAGACCCAGGGTCACTGAAGAACACTCCACGAGGACTTCTCTGGGGGTCCTGACTTGGAGTGGACTGACCTCCGACCACAGCAGCCTCACTACCCTAATCACGGGCTACCGAGCAGGCCACACCCCTTCTCATGCAGGATATTCTCTCTCTGAAACGTGGGTTAGAAATTTAGCCTTGTGGAGCTCTGCTCAGCCTACACTAGGCAAAAATTAAATCAGTCACGTGCTCATGCTGGTCTACTGAACCTGGAGAAATATTCTGTATCGATGCTGATTTCAATAATTTCCTGAGTCAAAGTGTCCCCCAAATGAATTCTTTAGCATACTTAGGGGACAAGGAGGTTGTGAGAGTTACACTGGGCACGCACGTCCCCCTCTCCTGGGGACACGCACGGGCTGGCCTGCAGCACTTACCGCCAGGTACTGTGGGGTGAGTCCGCCCAGCCCCGTCAGGTTCCCCCAGGTGGCAGTGTTGAGCTGTTGCATCTGCTGTGCCAGCTGCTGTTGGAGGCGTCTTTGCTCTTTGTCCTTCTGAGTGTCAGCGAACTTCACCACGATAGGTGAAGAGCAGCCCTGTGGTCAGACACAGTGGAAAGTGAAGAGGGGGTTACAGCCTGGTCGAATCCTCTCATGAGATTCAGCACTGGGTCTAGCTTTCTGAACTACCTCGGAGCACACGGAATGGTCGGAATGGTTTTAGAATGGTTTGATATTCCTTCTTCTTCTCTGAACAGTACCATCAACAGAAAATTCCAGAGACTGTCATTGGTTTCTTTGGGGATCTGGTGGTCGGTGGAGCCATTTGCTGTCTTGCTCTGGTTATTAAACTGCCTCTCCTTCCTTCTTCGTGTCTTCCTTCAGCCTTCCCAGGGCCTCCTCAGAGACAAGAGGCCTTATCAATGTTCTGTAACTAAGCTTCACGGTTCACTTGTCTGAAAGATAGACCTGTGTTGTGTGTCTGCCTCTCTCCACATGTGAGCAGGGGGCGAGGAGGGGAAAGTTGTGATGGGAATGACACTCTCTCTCCTTCATTGGTTTTTTTTCACTCCTTCCAATTTTCGGTTATGTATTTTTGAACTACGGAACTGTAGGGATCATACGGATCCAGCAACAGAGTTGGGAAAAGTGGATTTGTTTTATAAACATGGATGAAGGAAGGAGATATTCAGAGAACACAGGCGTTGGCCAACATAACTGTCCCCGTGTTTTCAGAAAGATCTCTCTTCCATCTGTATCCCATCTACACTATCCACAATCCCCTCAGCTACTGGGAACCAACGAAATTAGAAATATTGTCTAGTCACAGGGGATACAGGATGGATGGCGGGAGGAGGAGTCTCCTTGACTTCTTTCTCTAGCAAATCTCACCCTTCCAGATGCTTCTTTCAGTTTTCATTTCCTTTAAAAGGCAAGGAGTGGGGTAGAGAGTGAGACTGGCCAAGGGCTATATAACAGGATGGATTCCTGTTTGGTAATAGATACAGTCAGCAGGGAAAATAAGGGCCTAACTCCTCAGGGCACGAAGACTTCCTGTTAGAAGCACCTTTTAAACATTTGCTTTGGGTAAATACTCGGCAGAAACATCTTCTCCGCCCTCCCCACTCTCTTCTCCTTCTTCCTATAGTTTGCATACACATTTCATCACAAAGCTGTTAAATTTTGCTGAGGTAAAAAGAAGTAATTCTACCCAAGTGATTTAAAAAAAAAACAAAAAAAACTTTTATTGAAACTCAGCATGATAATAGACCTCTCTCACTCCTCTCAGAAATTTTATATTCCTATTTAAATGAGTTTTTCCTTTCTCTTCCCTTTGGGTCACTTTGGGGAGGTAGCTATGACTACGTGAGGCCATCATGTCTGAATTACCAAAAAATGTGAGAAAAATGAGGTGACTGTTGAATTTCCAGCGTGTCAGTCTTCAGCTCTGGCAGCCATCGTCACAGTACAGAATGTTAAATGTCAGTAAATTGCATAAAAGTAGTATTTCCACCATTAAAAAAAAAAACTATGCTTCATTTTTCTTCATCTGCTCCGTATTTCAGCACTTCATTCCTTAAAGAGGGCAAAATACTCTGAAGATGAAAATTTTATAGAGAGAGGGTTTTTCATGGAAGAGGGTTATTATTGCTGCATCAAATCTGTTCCGTAACAAAGTATACATCTCCTCCTAACAGGACATTCACTGTTGGTTTTTTCTTCCTTAAATATCAAAAGATGATATAAAAGCAGAAAATCAGGCCAGTGATTATAGCTCAAAAACTACTTGTTTAAACCATGAAACGGAAAAATTGGATAGGGACAGATTGGAGGAAAGTAGAAAAATAGAAGGTACAATATTAAAAATTATTTAAAAAGAAGTGCCTTTTAAACGTTGACAGTCACATAATTTTGAATCTGAATCTCTTAGATACTACATCTTGGTTAAAGATGTGAGCCAGAGTCCTGAAAATAATGTAACTTGTTAAAAAAAAAAAAGGAAACAAACTTTAGTTGTACGACTATAACGTAACTGCATAATGTGTAATTTTCCATTTAAATGCCAATATTTTTTAATTCAATAAGACATTTAAGTGTCTGAGGGCCCCGTTCTTTAAGCATGGATGTCTAGATTTCAAACAAGTGCACCAAATTTGATTTTTTAGAATAGATATTTATAACAAAGGATCAAGGGCTTCTTGAGAATCAGCACACCCCACTGTCTATCTCAGAATCTTTTAACTAGGAGAGCCCATTGTTCCTGGGGTCAGATTCATAGCCAGTTCTGCTTTCTGTCCTTGAGCTCTTCCTCTGTAGCAACACAGGGGAACCCAGACCCCCACGCCAGCCCCTCGGTGGCTCCACTCAGGGGGTTCTGAGGGAAGGAGCTGGGGTGGCAATGTTTCTAAACAGAGCTGGAAGAATTTGGACTAAAAAAGGATCTAAGATGAGACCAATTTAGGTACAAATCACTCAATTACAGAAAGTAAAAATAATTAAGACTGGAACACATACATGGAAGAAAATAGGTACAGGTAGAGACTTTCTTTTTCCTAACTGCACTTGCATTTTTATCTCCACACTGAGATGGAGCTGGAAATCAGACTGTCCAGAACAACGGAGCAGCCTAAGGTAAGAGAAAGGGGGGGAAGGAAACCGTGGCCACAGAGAACTGCATGTTGTACAAGACTGGCTTCCTAGATATTTCAAATCCTGTCAATTAGCTCCTATCATGGCCGATTTTCACCTGAGCTTGCCTTCAGGTAGGGGGGTGGGAGTGTCTTAAAAATGCATTGCACTGAAAGGGAAACACAGTGATTATATAAGATATGTTAGGAATATCAAAGTTAAAATGAAGTTCGAAAAAGACAATCGGCTTTGCAATGCTGATATCAGAACTCAGAAAAGTACAGTAAACACTTAATGACAATGCCATGCACACTCTCCACCCCCCCTCCCCACCCACCTTTGGCTCACTGTAAAAAAGTTGCCCACAAAACATGACGCATCATGAGCGCTTAGCTCCCAGCATGCTTTGGGAGATGCAGCATTGCAAAAAACAAACAAAACAAACAAACAAAAAATAAAACCCCCGAAAAATGGAGGCAAAAAAGAAGCTTAATCAATAAAGAAAATTGTTGCTAATTAAATAAAATTGAAAATATTTTTTTCCCAAAAGATGAAAAATGTAACTTCAGATAACGCCACAAGGCCACCTGTGGAAAAGATCACCCATACACAGAGATACAGTGTACACAATACAGCAGCACATGCGCTCCCAGTGATTCTATCAGACAATACAGAATAAGTAACAGCATATCACTCTTGGAATGCTTTTGTGCAAAATTCTGAAAGGCCATGACCCAAATCACAGACTAAAAGTAGAGAGCCATCTATCTGCACTGGTGGGCGAACACCCACGCCAGCATATTTATCTTCCCCTAAAGCCACTATCTCTTATTAGGAGATCAAATCTGAGCCTTTATGTTTCTGGATTATTGCTCATTTTTCAGTGAGGAGACAAATCTAATTTTTCAGGGGACTCTCATGGATGAGCATTTTCACTGGTCAAATGAAGTGGGAGAAGCAGGAACTTTCTCCAACTCTCTGGGTGCAAAACCACAATTCTGTTTTATTCTTTATTAAAGATAACTTGATCCCCCATTAAAAAACAACAAAAAGAACCCTGTGAGTTAGCACAGGGCAAGTGGCAATTTGGAGTAGGGGTTGTTCATGTTTAATCTGTAGCAACCCCGGGCAGAGGAGCGGATGTGATCCTTTAAAAGTGCAGAAAATACTACTTGGCTTAAACTGCATCATGACTTTCCATGGCAGGCCCTGGGCCACTGCAATGAAAGGCTCAAAAAAAAAATAATGGAGAGCAGGTGGAAGGCATTTCTAAATCCATTTCAAGTCATTAGGGGAAAAATTCAGAGAGAGAGAGAGAGAGAGGGAGAGAGAGTGGAAGAGAGAATGAGTATGAAGGAATGAAAAGAGAGAGGGTGAAAGTTGAAATCTGTGATTGTCATGGGAACAATCCACACAGGAGAGAATTGCGTTACCATCCCCCATCATTTGCACAAAGAAAACAAGGAAAGGGCAGATGATACAGTACCTCCATGGTCTGAGACTGATGCATGGCTTTGATTGCATTCTGTGCCATTGCCCTTGTAGAAAATGTGACAAACGCACAGCCTGTGGGAAACAAGGGGACAGGGAGCAGGAAAGACAAAAAACAACAAGACAAAAGGGTTGGACGCTTGTTAAACCAACACGGTCTACGAGAACTGCCACAGGACGACACTGTTCTCAGTAGTACATGAAAATAAACAACTTCTCTCTTTGGGTTTTATTGTAGCTTGTTTTTTACACACAGTGCTGACTTGCTAATCTGACCGAAGTAGAAAGATCTGTTGATTGATTCTTTTTTTAACATGGAGACGAGGAGAAGGGAGTCGGGTGACTCTTTGGAGCCAAGGGGTTTGAAATCAACTAGATCTAATTCACATTTTCTAAAATAAAAAGTTGTTCTTTTACATTTTCTGCCTGGCTGATTATCTTTACTTCGGGCATCCACACATTAGGGCTCTGGATTTCAAATTTTAGCATTGATTTTTAAGCAGCAAATAATAAAATCCTCACTCCAAGGGCAAATGAACATAACATCCCAAGAGCTTGAAATGTCAGCAAATAAATATATCTCATCTCTTCTGGGTAGTTAAAAAGTATATATGTATAAATACACATTGATGTAGTTCAAATGCAAACCAATACACCAAATCCTGCACAATCCAGTACTTATTAATTATGAACAAAAACAAATGCTCTAGTACTCTGAGAAGATTCAACAGTGCATATATAGCAAAAGCTTTGAATTTGCATTGGATTTTTTTATTTGTATGGAGTCTTCATGACCTCTGGAAGTTGTGACTTTCTGAGATGTTTCAGCAATTTGGCCTACAATCTAACATTCACAAGACAATGTACATTTCCCTGAATGTCTCCTGTGAGACCCATCGAACTTTTCATGGCTATCTCTTTCTCATTCTGAAAAATAACTAGAACCTAGAGAGCCTGTCCCTGCTCCTTATAGCAGCACTGGCCACCCTGCAGGTCACCACTCCAACTACACGGCTCATTGCCCTTGGCACTGATAAAAACACTGCCTTTTGAAATTCACATTGTATTCATGCACCCTTGGGCTTCTAAGAGAAAAAGACTAAAATTAATGCAGATTCAGGCTGATTTTATAATAAGACCACAGCACACTAAAAGCTGAGCTAAAGCAAGGCAGACTTAGTTCACTTATGATCTCTAATGACTATAAAAGTGCATTGATTTTCAGCTTGTTTAGCCTTGCACAGTTTGAACTTAGGTATCAGAGCATAATTTCATGTTCCGCTCAATTTCGTCAAAACATTATTATTATTACTACTTAAAAGACTTCCAAATGAAGCCGATGTAAACACCGAGAGGGGAAGCCTGTTGTCACCCCAGAGTGAACTCAAGAAAGCGGGATTCTGGCGTCCACAAGGCGAGGTGGTCGCTCGCCCCTGTGGCCAGCAAACCGAACAGAACGTTCTACGTCTCAACAACCAGCGGACTGTTTGGTTTACATAAGTCCATTTGTGAGCCATAAACCATAATTGCCTTCTTTTGCTCTGCATGGGTACCTGGTTGAGATGATCAAGTCAATACTGTACTAGCACCTTTTAATCAAACAGCAATGCCTGCCCGTTAACCCTAAGACACAACAGCATCCAGTCATAAAATAGTCAATGCATTTTTTTTTTTTTTTGCATTATGCTGCAGTTTTTAATACACAGAGCTCTCAGTGCAAGGGAGATTCACCTCCCATTCCCCTCCCAGCTGAGCTGGCCTTCCGCAGCCTGAGGTGTAGCTCACCGTGAATGCCGAGCTGCTTCATCTAGTTCCCTGACATTCGAGAAGCCGGTGACGCTTTCATTTAAACAGGCTGCCTGTACCTATACTGGCTGCAGGTTTGGTCACCAATAAAGGCACTTTGGCAACATCTCTGAGGCACCTAGATGATGTGCTTGATAGCGTGGGAAGCAGATGACATCACCCGGACTGGCTTCCCTAGTGACACTCAGCTCTAAAAGGGCAGAGCCCCAAAGTTACCATCCATTTCCAAGTAATATCTCCTCAAAATCACTGTCATCATTAGCAGAGGAAATAACACTCAGAGATTTTTCTTTTCCCATTTTTTTTTTTTTTTATCTTGAGAGTGCAACGAAGGGAAGATGTATCGAATGGAGACGTATCTGAAACCACGTGCAGCCTGGACTAACTGTTTTGAATAGTTGAGAAGAACTGTGCCAGTCACCTCATTTGCTCTCGTTACCCAGGACCATGTGCCGAACTGGCAGTTTCCAAACGGAGGTTAAGAATGCATAAAAAAAAATATTGAAAATGTCAACAAAAATCAATAATGCACAGTTTATGCATTTACCACCATTTCGAAGCAAGCAGAACCTTTGTAAATAACTTAGTGAGAGAGACATCGTAATCAACAGGTCTAAAAAGAAAAGTTGTTAGCAATAGAACAATAAAATCTAACTTCTGTGAACTCAACCCATTGCCCTTTTCGTCTGTGAAACCTGCAATTAAAGCTCGACTGATGCTTCTAATTATACTCCTCAACCCATCCAGAAAAACGATCTGACAAATCTGATGACTTCTTTAACCTTTTTATTCTATTGGCAGTGGTGTAGTAAGAGAGAGGTTGTCTCCTTAGGGGCTCTGTCAAGTTCTGTACTGTGTGCTGTGTTCAATGACTTAGGAGAGAAAATTACTGTGTCATTTCTAAAGCGAGAGTGTATGTTGAAAAATTTCACTCCCTCAGCTGCTCTGGATGAAGTAAGCAACTTCAGAACCAAATGTTTCATGGACCGGGAGCTCTTTAACCTCTGTAATTTCTCTTAAACAGTAGGTTGTGGTAGGGCTATGGTTAGATTTCAATTTTCTTTTCACCACCAGTGAACATGCTGTGGTGGCTATTTAGGGTTAGACCTCAAATCTGTGGCTTTTCGCTAACATAAGTTCCTACCACCAAGATTTGGCTGCTGGCTCCTTCTACAAACTAACTAGATGACTTTCCACTGGACAGAAGTGATTTAGGTGAAAACTGTCCCCTTCTCGTATTAAATCGAGCTGCTGGGCACAGCAGGGTTCGAAAGGTCCTGCCAGGACAGCGGCTCTGATCTTGTAGGGTCCACTCCTCGACTTTGCTAAGCAGAGTGTTGTATGTGCTGTCTCAGCAGTCAGTTCTCAGGCTACTGACCAAAATGCAAGAGAAAGCAGATTGGGGAGAAAAGATACAGGCACCCAAATAGTGAAGCTACATTTGGGGAGGGGGTAGATAAGATAGCTTGTATGTTACTACCTTAAAACCTCCAAAAACATAATCGCAAAAGAAAAGAAAAATTTCCATCTGTGAATGTGGCTAACCTTGCAATTATTTATTGTCTCCGCTTTCAGAAAGTCAGAGATTGCTGATCGAAATGCACGGAGTTGAATTCCTCTTATTTCGGTGAGGTTGCCTTCTTGCTAAAACAGATAAATGACTGACTGGGAAGGGCTTCTCAAACAAAGTAATTTTCTCCTACAGACAGGATCTAAGGACAGCACGTGGCCCTGTCACAGAGATTTTGGAACGCATCTATCACGCCTATCCTGTCAAGTGAAAGGATACCTGAACTCAGGGGCCCTGCCTCCTCTCTTGGCTGTAAGAGCATTTTTGGAGAACTGGATGCCTTCTTGCTCTGCACAAACACAAAAAACACAGGCCCTTCTAAAAGCATGTACAATGCCGGGGCCTCTTTTCTGCTACTTCTTGCAAAGAGAGGCAGCAGCTGTACTTCAATGGAAAAAAGCAAATTTAAAATAACGTGTGCAGCACGAAGATTTCAACCTACAGGAAACTTGTTTATAAATTCCCATCCAGCTGAAAAAAGATCGCCATGCAGCCAATTTTCCTCGCTGTCTCTCTCTGAGCAGTGGCAGGGGTTACTGCACATATGTTATCAGTATAACAACATTGGAGCACACAAATGAATACTCTAATGAACCATTCCCAATGTTGGGTCTATTTACAACTGGCGTGGCGCTGGAGGGTGAGTGCAGACTGGGTCTTAGTCGTTGGCAAAACCCCGTCCTTGAGATGAGGTTGGAAGACTATATCCAGAGCCAGAGGATAAGATACAGTCGATAATCCAGGGGGCATCTGATAAAACTCCCTACGTTTCTGAATATTTCGGTACTGCGTGGGCAAGACTAAAAGGGTATGATCAAGACTGGGTCCCTCTCCGTATACATGTTTTAAAAGTCAAAAGCCCTATCCTAACATCCTGATCAGATATAAAAACAAATCAGGATTGAATGGCTGAACCCAGTCTGCGCTCGCCAACACCCCTGATAATATTGCCAATTTATTTGTCAAGAGTTTTGGCAGGAGAATGTTGGAACACCATAAACACAGCTGGAATATTCTTAAACGAGCAGAAAGTTGCCTTAAATGGCAGTGGAGATCTGACTCCAGTTTTGGGGAAAGAAACATGAAATAAATTCCTTTACTGTCTTTGAGTTACAAATGTTCAGTTGCCATGGTGCAGAAATCCCTGTATGGATTGTACCCAAATAGTCTCTTCTGACTGTGGGGTCATGAGTGAGAACAAACATGTGTTATTTGAGGAAACCAACATGCTAAGGTAACACTGTTACATAAATGCACTGGCTCAGAAGCCTCAACCTTTGATCCTGAGAGCTACGGTCTCATCTGACTGGCCATGTGTGGGCTCTATTCGCTGCCTGCTCACTCAATGAAGGCTTGGGCAGCAGGCCGGAGAGGTCTCAGCAGGAGCTGAGTATCAGGAGATGCTTGAAATCATCTCAAATCAAATTTGCCAAATTAGAAAAGATGGCAGAATGGGTCACTGCCCCGAAGAAGAAACACGTGTTTAGATGTGGGCACACTGTGTAAGGTTGGTGGAGTCCTGTACCTGGTGAGCAGCTTCAGTGTGCTCAGTGGGTGCTGGGTGCTGTGTTCAGTCCTGATCATTTCCTGGGGTGAGGGTCGTGGGGGGGGTGTGTGTGCTGTCCTGGAACATGACACAGACTGGGTGCTGGTGATAATGATGGGACTTTCAAAATAGTCTTTCATGCTAATAGGTAGATCAGGCCTTTATTTTTATTTATTTTTATTTTTATGGATGCACTGAAAGTGTAGTAGGGCTTGGCAGGCACCAAGCAAGGGTCCTGGCAGCCCACTGAGGGGTACGGAGTCAACCGGCCTGGAGAAACCTCAGCTTACTACCTATGAGGGAGGGATTTAGACCCTGATGTGACAGAGAAGTGACACTGGACACCTGTGGAGGAGCATCATTATTCTTGTAGCTGAAAAGCAAACAAGGGAAAGTGAACCACCCTATAAAAACTTTTTTATTGACTAGTTTATACCCTGGCTTAGTTATTAGAAGGCACTTTTCAGAGCAGCCAAGCTTTCATTTCACTTAATTTTTATTTATTTTTGAAACAGCTGAGCCAGCAATAGGCACCGAGACCAGAAGTGCTGAGAGCCCTTTATCTGCAGGGCCGCCAATGGGGGACACATTCATATTTGGTTGAAAACTGCATTCCTTTAATGAAAGAAAAATAGTAGCATGAAAGAGAATTGTTCTTTTAACAAATACACTGATTCAGGAGTGGTCCCTTGTACCCAGGAGTTCCTGGGTCCTGATAATTGAAAAACCTACCACTGTCTGTCTTTATATTTCAGAACAAATGGTTATAAATGAGTATTTTCTTTTTTGCCATAGGGAATTCTCATCAGTTCACTAGAAATTATTTTCTGTTTAAAAAAGGGTAGGGAGGACGATTCTACTCCTTACCCTGAGCCAGGTTTCCCATAAAACACTGATGAGGGAGGGTCTTCCCTAACTAGTTTAAGAAACAGGCTGCTTCTGTGTCTCATCTCGATCAAATGGCTGATCAAATTGGCCAAATTCTCCTGTCAAGTCCTGGGGCCTCTTTCCTATGAAAGTTGAGCTGCTTTAAAATCTTATCTGCAAAAATAACTGACACCCACTCAGGGAGCTGAACACCAATGCCATCCATTCCTGTCCCCACTGGACGGAAGGTGAGGCGAGAGGGGGTGGCCACTGGGTACGCAGGCCCAGCCTGCAGAGGGACAACATGCCTTCCTAACTCAGGGCCAAGGTCTTTTCTAAAGCAAAGGGATGGTCTGCTTGCACAGACTCTCCCCCACCACTAACCAAGGATGCATCACGAGATACACAGGGCAGGTACTGTGACTGCTGCCATCTGCAGATGGGGAAACTGAGGGAGAGAGGGAGGAAGCTGAAATGACTTCGGTAACATTTCATATCAGAAGTTCTGGGGCGGGACCCGGGGGTCACTGACCTCAAGCTACTGTGACTGAACTATGAGTGACTGAAGGGCCCCCCTTTCTCTTCTCAGAGCCGCACGCCTGGGCGCATGAAACACGCAATGAGGACACGGAAGAGCGCCGGAGAACGCTAGCAGGAGAGCGCACCGGGCCCAATTATGAAACCGGCAGCAGGATGGGACTGGAAAAATGTTATGTGTTTCCTACACATTTTATCCTTTGTTTGGACACCCTGCCTTTCTCCTCCGGACTCCCTCTCCTGGCTTGTGTGCCTGAGTGGGCATACATGTACCCTAACTGCAGAAGAACCACATGACCAAATATGACTAGACACTCTCATGGTGTCCGTCTGCCAGGTGGCACAGGGCGGGCTCGGGTGGACCTCCAGCGTCCTTGTGCTGGCAGGCTGTGCAGGTCACCAGCATGACACACCATTTTGGATGACACAGGTGGCTACAGATGAGACCGAGGCACTGAGTCTGCTGGTTAGCGATCCTCCTCGATATCTGTGTGGCTCAGTTTTTAGAGAACCACGTTTTCCGGGAGAGTTAAGTAACAAGGGTTCAGAATTGTTCAAGGATGCCCCAACTGCCATCTCCCTGCCCCCCCCCCCCTTTTAACCACCTGCAGAATACAGGAACGGAAGCCCGAGGCCAATCCACCTGCTCCGAGCTCTCTCGAATCCCTCCGCTCGGGAAGGCGGTGGGTGTGGCGCACGCTGTGCCCTGTGCCTGGATTCTGGCAGCTGACACCGTGACGCGTGCTCCAAAAGTCAAAGGAACAAGTGTTCTTCCGCACAGGGTGCTGACCTTAAGTAAAACCAGGAGAACGGCTGAAAAATCAGGGCTGTGAGACTAAATGCCCAAGCTTTTCTTTCTGCGTGTGGTTGGGGATGGCCGCGCCGTCCCGGGACCAGAGACTGGGAATAAAGACGTTTCTAATTAGCCCCGTGGAACGTGCCCTGATGACGACATTCATGGAATGAGCTCCTTTCTGTGTTGCAAAACTACGGATTTCTTAGGGGCCCTGGAAAATGTCTTCCGCACACTTGCTTTCAGCGGGCCTGGCGGGACGGACGGGGACTGCAGCCAGGTGAGCGTTAACACGCACTGACAGCCCTTCCGAGTGGCTTAAAGAGGGGGCGTGTGGCCTTGTCACCGTGGATGGCAAACATCGACCGAGGATGGTGATTTCCAACTACTTTGTACAAGTGCTTGTAAAAATACTGGTTTCATCAGTGCTCAGAGCAGCAGCCTTTGCTTCTACCATGGTGACAATGAGAGAACCTACAATCTTCTTCTGGATGGAGTCGCTTCTCTGTCACTAACAGACTCCCTGGGTTCAGGGCTCCAGGAGTTTCTAAATAAAACCCCGATGCCCCAAGAGGGGCCCGGGTATGCGGAGCCCGCACCCGCTCTGGGCGGCAGCACCGACGTTCTTCCTTGTTCCCTGTCCAGAGGCCCGCGCCCTGCACATCTCTTTCGGGCACAGCCAGAAACTCCGATGAAAACAATGACTACTCCTGCTCCCCTTCCACCCCCCTCCCCCAGTGCCTACTTCCCTTCGAGATTGAAAAGGGATGTGTAACAAGGAGGCAGCCTGCGGCTTCCCGCCTGACAGTGATAACCTCAGCTAATATGTTGGCACCGAGACCTTCCCGACTTGAGAAATAAAATGTGATCATTTCAGCAACGGTGAAAAGTTCAGGCTGGATAACTGCACCACGCGGGATGTATGACAGGGTAACCCCTTGCTGCGTGTGGCGGCTACATCTGCCGTGGCTGTGACACAGAGCTCCAATTAGCACCCGAGGAACGACACCTGAGCGCCGGCACACTCACCTCGACTCAGCCCGTCGGGGCCCCGGAGGATCCGGCACTCTTCTATCTGGCCGAATGGAGAGAACATCACCCTGATATCATTCTCGTTACATTTCTTCGAAACCATTCCTATGAACAATTTTCTGTCTTCCACAGCTAGGAATGAAAAATAACGCATGAGCAAAGGCCATTGTCAACTTTTCCCTTGCAATCAATGCTTCGCCACCGACGCGCCCACCGGGTGCCGGGCTCGGGAGGGGCCCGGCCGCCCCCTCTCCCGGCCCCCCGCCCCCCGCCCTTCCTGAGCTCTCACTGAGCCTGTTCTAATGAGGAGCTTCACAGGGCACAGCCACCAAGTTCTCTCCCCCATTTGGAAACGCATGGTAATATGTTTACTAGAACGTTCAAGTCCCAAGTAACTGCTAAACACTGCCATTCCACAGAGATATTTTTGGGGACAGACTTTTTTTTTTTTTGTAGATGTTCTTTAACTTGAATGACAGGGAGAGAAAAAGGTCAGCAGAGGAAAAACAAAAGGAACAGATGTAGTGGAACAGCAAACAAGACTTTGAACAAGGCACTCAGGGGAAGAAAGCATCCTTCTCCCCCCATTTCATGTAGCCTTGTCCCCACAGACCCAGAGGAGTCGGAAACCCAGTCAGTGACCTGTCCGGAGCTGGGCTCTGAGCCCCACCTGGGACAGCGCATGTAGTCTGTGTCACAGAGAGGAAGGTGACTCTAGTGACGAGAACGGGGCAGTAGCTACTGGAGAATGACACCAGGATGGCCTCGCGCCCTGGCCCCATGCTCGGGGTGAAACCCGAAAAAGGACAAGGAGGGACTGGTCCTACTCCTTCCACTTGGGGGCAGAAATGCTCTTTGGGTGTCATGACAGCAACATGCAAATTCTAACCTTGGAACCAGATGGGGGTCATGACAAGGAAAGGTTTACCTCAGGACCCAGGAGATTTCCCTCAAAACCTACACGCTTGTGCTCAGGAAGACTGGCCTACATTTAGCCTCAAAGGCACCATTCTAGTTCAGGATGGTGCTGTGAGTCTCTCCCAGGAGAGGGCGCGACTGTCACAGAGCCTCCAGGGAGAAGTCCCGCTGGCTTCCCCTGACCCATCCCTGGTCCATCCCAGTTCAGTATCAGAAGGAGAGAGGACAGCAGCCGCAGGGGCACCTTGCCCGCCTGGCTTCGGGAAGGCTCTGCCGTACATCACTGAGCAGAGCTGTGCATCATCTGTCGTTGCTACTTAATTGCTTTTATTTGCTCCTCTCATCCTTTCCCTGGAAAGTAAGTGTCTCATGTTCATCTAACCCCCAGAACTGTATTCCAGACTTTCTGGGGCCAGTTCCTCTTGGAACCTCACACTCCCTGACCTCTGCCCTCCGCGAGGGGACAGAGGGCTGTCTGTGCAGCGGCAATGAGGCACAGGGCACTGGCTCCCACGCGGGGGTAAGTTCCAGTGGCCACTGTGGCCGAGGCTCTGGATTTGTAATGTAATTTAATGTTAACTGATTTACATTTAAAAAGCCATGTGTGAGTGCTACACGGAACAGCTTGGTTTGGAGGGCCCACGTGAGACAGTAAGTGCTCCGTCACAGAACCCCAGACAGGAAGGAGAGAGTGAGCGATGTTTGTCTACCTCTGAAAGAGGCCCTGCGCCTGGCAAGGGACGGACTCGCCTGCAGTCATTCAGCAGGTAGGTGGCCTGACCTGACCCATGACCTGATGTCCTACCGCCATCCAGGCTTCTTTCACTCTACTGTGCTCCCTGCTAGCCCAGAGGATGCAGGTGAGGGTTAAAGCAGGGAGAGAATGCGGGGGCTGGGAAACGCAGGTCCCAGTTCCAGCACAGCCATGAAGGTGATGTGTGACCTTGGAGAATGAACTGACCTCTGTGGACCTGTTTTGTCATCTATAAAATGAAGGTTTAGACTCTATTCATTTCCCTTTTCCTTCCTCTCTCTTTTTTTTTTTTTTAAAAAAAGCTTTCCTTTTTTCTTTATTGATTTTGAAAGAGAGAGGAAGGGAGAGGGAGAAGGAGAGAGAGAGAAACATTGATGAGAGAGAACATCGGTTGGCTGCCTCCTGCATGCCCCTCACTGGGAATCGAACTGGCGACCTCTTGGTGCATGGGTTGATGCTCAACCACTGAGCCACACCAGCTGGGCATTTTCTCTCTTCCTTAAATACTAGAGGGAAGCGGCCCAGCCACATGCTTCGGTTGACGGAAGCACATGGGGTGGGGGAAATGGAGCCCAGAATCCTTCTGTGCAGCCTCTCTTCACACTCGTGGCTGCTCCTAAGACAAGGCAGAAGAACTCCAGGGCTCCAGGGAATACGGTTGAAGCCACAATTCCACCGTACGTGTCAATTACAAACTGCACCCCATAGTTTTGAGAGCAGCTTGAGGGAAGATAAGGGAGTTAAGCTGGCCTTCCAGAAGCATGGGCAGGGTCTGAGAGACTGGTGGTGGGATGGGGGAGACGTACTGACTGGTCAGGAACAAGTAGGGGCTGTGTTTGGGGCAGGTGGAAGAAAGCAGCCTGGCTTCCGCACAACAGGCACCGCCATTTGCTGCATCTGCAGAGAGGGCTCGATGTGTAAGGAGGTGGCGGAGGGTCCTCGGCCTCTGTCTGGGTGGAGATTCACCAGGGAGATATGGGCGATGGGGTCACTGGCCGATTCCTGGAGGGAGGCCGCTGAGGACCTGACTTCATATATACAGATTTTTAAAAAACTTCAAGTTGAAGTTCTTTTTTAAGTAAGCAAACTATGAATAACATCCTGGGAACTAGTAAAAGCAAAGCACGTCAAGGGCAGTGTTGGCACAATGGTCTAAGTGCTAGAAACATGAGCTATCCCGGAAAAGGAGCTTCCCTTCGATGGGGTCGTGAGCTCCGACGCCTGGGCGGCCACGGCGAAGCCGAAGCCGGAGCCCTTCCCGTGAGAGACTGTTCGGAACCGCAGACCCAGATGGGGAGCGGGAGGAACTCTCTGACTCGGGTGGTAGGAAGGGACAACTCCTAGGTGTAGTTCTTACCCTCCTCCCTCCCTCTCATCTCGGGGGCTTTTGCCCGAGGAAGCTGCGGCTGCTATCTCCATGGGAGTAACAACACATTCCATTCTATTTTTTCTGATCCTAAAAAATCTGGTTTTAGTTCTTTTAGACAAAAACAAATAATACATTCCCAGTAGTCCCTGGTAAACCTAAGATGACAGTATTTAGCCAAAACAATTTGTAGATTTTGAGCTTTAGAGTGATATAATAAAACATGCAGCTCCTTGGTAAGCTAAAAATGGTTTGTTTTTACTAAGACGAATATTAAGAAAATGAAAACCATTGACGAAATTCTGACTTCCTAGTCACCACTGCAGACAGGCAGGGAGATGAATGATATAACTCTCACTATTTTTCAGTAACAACTATTAGCTAAAAGTAAAAAAAGCAGAACCTATACCGTCCGTATGCCAGTCAACGTGCTGACGTTTTCCGTGTGTGCGCACAAAGGAAGCTGGACGTCTGCAGTCTCTTCCTAGCCAAGGTCGTGCTGTGGTTTTAACAGCTGGGCCGTGTCTGCTGTCATGGGGAATTGGGGAGAACTACACACATCCAGCTTCCTTCTCCCCTGAGTTCTCCTGATTTTCCAGTGAAAACCCATTCATACAAATTCTTCCTGGGATTCTCAGGCCAAGGTTCCCTCTAAACAGCTTTGTCAACATTTTAAACACACACAATGATCTTCGATTCGCTTAACGTTTTCATCAATGTCTGATGACTTTCTTGGTGGGGGTTTCCCCAAGTACTCACAGGCAGTAAGTATCTCACTTATTTTTTTTCCAATCCACAAGAATGCTGACTGCTTAAATAAACCTACCACAGGTTCATAGTATTCTGCTAAGTGCTTCAGAGAAATTAAAAATAAAATAAAAAGGATGAAAGGATAAGGTCTGTGCTCTCTTGGGAAAACGTCCATGTGCCTTTCGGGTAATCAATGGATGAGAGAGGGGCACTGATTGAATATACAGAGGGCTGCACGGATGGGTTACCACCGTCGGTACCAAGAATGGCAGAACTGGAAGGTTCTCCCGACATGGGACCATTCCAAGTCCTCCTGCCATGGTTTAAATAAGAAAGGGTTAATATGATAAGTGGGAACTTTTTTTTTTTTTTTAAGTTCAGGGGAATAGTAACTTACTTTTTAAAAAATCCCTAATTGTAAGCTGGTGCTGACACCCTGGTATACAACCTGTCAAAGTCACACCTGGATTTGGGGTGGCCTGAATTAATTAACAACTTTTCAATGTGTTAGTACTAACATATGGCATTTAATTACTGCCTCCAAATCTGTGAGTCTCTCTCCACTTTGAATTTCAAAATTATTTCGTCTTCCAGTAAATCAGAGGGGCTGGGTAGGAACACCCTGTTATTCCTACGTGTGCGGGAGCATTGCAGTCCTTACCCTCCCTGACAATACTGCGTCATCTCGACCCTTGCGAGCTCTGAATTTGACACACGGATACTGGGGGTTTCTGAGGCCTTGAGAAAGGAGACAAGGGTCTTGAATGGCGTTTCTGGATTTGAGGTGTCGAGGACCTCAAGATGTGAGGCTGGAAGATTCAAGCAGAATGGACTTATGCTTCGTCTAGAGTCAAAGCAACCCCTTCCACTAGGGGCATGGAGTACGAGTGCACCCTGGCTCCGGCCACCGGGACCCCAGCACGGAACCGAAGGTGACTGCTGTGCTTTTCTCATCTCTCACTGCTACGCAAACTCCAGATCTAGCAACTGCATTTAATTTTCAATCTTGCACCACTGGTGTAGTGATGAAGGATGAAAAGCTGGACAACAACCCCTCCAGTGAGACACAGCATACAGAGTGACTATGCACATGTGCTGGTCCCTGGAAGCCACAGCTCCTCCAGTGCCCGTCCCACACCGTCACTGCACTATGTGCAAGGGAAAAAGAACAGAAAAGCTGGATTCTTCTGAAATTTGGGTATTGACTCAGTGTGTTCTTCTTAAGGTCCCCAGCATTTTATTGCTAATGCAATGGGCTTTTTCGGGGGGAGGAGGACACCGCTGGCATAGAAGCATGAAGGCAGAAGGAACATGAATGAGTTGGCATAAATGTGCTAGAGGCTGCAGCTTAAATCAGAGCCAATGGGAAGGGTGGACCAGAGGAAGCCAGGGAGATTCTGGAAGCCTGTTCAGTAAGATACTGATGTGCAGGGCAGATCGAAGAGCAGTCCAACATTTCTGAGCTCACCACAGAGGGAACCCTTTGTCAGAATCTCCACACGGACAAAGGCTGAAGAGAGAGATTGCTTTTCTGGAACTCATCGGTCCATCCCCAATTAATCTGTGATGAGCAGCTCTGTCTTGCTCAGCAAATACAAAGTTTTAGAAACCCGAACATACCGATAATGAAGGCAGCCACTGTCTAACTGTGATGAGTCCTCTGTGCTATCCATAAATGTCAGCAAACTCAATACAAGTGCAATTAGAGCTCGTCATACTCCTTTCACAACCGCACGAGCTATTTCCAGTATCTGAGCCAAAGAAATCTTTGTGCTCTTCAAGCTCTGGAAACCATGCCCACCTGTCAAAGCGGCCACGTGACATCACAAAAGGCTTACAGCGCTTATCACTTGCTTTTGAAAACGATACATTTTTCCTGAGCCCTCCCTCAGGTCCAAGGAGAACCCTGAACCCTGGTCATATCTATGCAAGGTGAGGTTTCCCTGGAGCCTCTGCAAAGAGGAGCAGATTTCAACCCATTTATACTTTTTTAACATTTTAATTTTTTTACTGGAAATTCAGGAAATGAAGGTCAATCTACAAGGCAAAGGGAGAACTGGCCCAACAAGCAGGTTTGGGGGGTCCTTTGTGTGGCCAGATCTGTGCTGTGATATAACAGCCAAGGCTGGAGGTGCCAGTGAGCTGGAATTATGTCGATAACTTGGCACAGCGATTATTTACCATGTGCCAGTACTATGCTCAGCTCTTTGTAGACAGTGACTTAGGTACTGCTCAGACACCCTTGTAAGGGAGGTGTTACAAGCAGGATTCCCACTACAGACCACGGCAGACCCGTTACAGCTGAGGACAAGGTGGCCAGGTGAGGCTGCAGAACGGGACCGAGGACACAGCTAACAAAGGCAGTGTCAGGGATCAAGTCCAGGTTCCTCAAAATGATTTTTTACTGCTAATGGCACTAATCCCTGAAAAATGGCATTTTTAGGTATTGTCTCATCTTAGTAAAAACAGTGCCCAGTCCTGCTTGGCTTTTGAGACCGTGCAAAATTGGGTGCGCACATCACAGTTTTATTCTGTTGCTGTGGCAAACCTGACCCTCAGTGTCCAGAGTAGACACCGGACAGCAAGGGCAACGGGCCATTCTGAGACCTCCCTGCAGCTGTTCTCTGGAAAGCATTCTCCAAGTCAGGCTCATGCCTGTACAACAGAAAATGAGCAAGAAGGAAAATCCCTCTACGGTTCAATTATTTGGGCATTTTAGGTCAAATATTTCCAACTCAGTTCTCGAATTCATCACGTCTCTATTGTTATGATCTAAGGTTCATCCACGACCCCTTGTATGGACACAGTTTAGAGAATGATGGAGCTGAAGAACAGGGGGCATCTCTTTTTTGGCCCAAAGCTTCAAGAGGACCTTCACAGACAGAATTCATCCCACAAATACAAGATTCCTCTCTCCCATGGAGAACAGAACAGACTGCAAACGTGCATTTATAGAGCAAAGGGTTCTGGGAGCTGTCATGGGTACGTGCCTTGAGCACGGGTGGACACACTCAGTGAAGAACCCTGGAAGGCCAGGGGAAAATCTGCACAGCAATGATTACACCGTAGAAGTGCTCTGTCCTTCACACAGCACTGTAACACACACCCAGCCCGCGTCTGAAAAGAAGGCACCCTAGACAGGCAGCTACCATTATTCTTATTTTATGGATGAGGACATTGTTTCGTCTTTGAGTGACGAGTAGAGATCAAGAGACTGAATGTAAGTTCCATGAGGTCAGGGCTGTCTTTTGTAGTCGGTTCTTCTTCTTTTTAAAATTCATTCCTGCAGCCCCAGCTAGTGCCATGCCCGGCACACAGTAAGCAATCAATATTCATGGTTTAATAAAGGAATGAAGTGACATGACCGAGGTCCCGCAACAAAGCAGCAGCAGATTTGAGACGCTCCGACACTAAGTGCCGTGTTGGTGATAAAGTAGTAGCGGACGTGGGGAGTTAGCTCGGAGAAGTGTGCGGCTGCTGAACGGATGGTGGGCCACCCCCGACACACAAGGCTGGTGCTAGCAGTCCACGATACGAGACGTGGGCTTCTCTCCGAAACTTTCTAGTCTGTGAAGAAGCCAGAAAATGGGATGCACTACAATTAGCAAAAAATACCTCGCGGAGAGGTTTAGAGCCCAATCATAATTTACATTTGCAGATATGCAGATCTCTGAGTGCATGGCTTCTGCCCTGATTACTAATTAATGAGGTGCAGCACTGCCTGTGGAAGGAAGCGTGCTGATTGTCAGTCTTGTGGGACAGGGGAGCTCTGCGGTCGGAGACGGGAGGAGAGGCCTTTCACATACATTTCAGTAAGTTAAAAAAAAACTAAAACAGAGACAGAAGGCTGGTGTAAGTGGAGGCAAAAGCCTGAGAGAGAGAAATGTGGCGATCAACCTTCTCGTGTCTTGGACAGTCAAATCTCTATTATTCCACGGACCTCATCAAACGCCTATTTTTGCACGGAGTGGATGTTTATTTAATCAGCAGACTGAATTCTGAATGAATTCGGATGCAAATGCATTGGTACAATTGACAGAGGAGTGCGGTAAAACAGCCTCCAAGCCAAAGAACAACAAATGCAAAGGAGAACAAAGATAGCCTGGTCCTTCCCGGGCGTCCCTTTCTCACTTGTCCTCTCTGCACAGTGGACATCATTTCTCCCCATCAGGTGTCCTGTGTTGCTCTGTGGGAGCAGATGAACAAGAGCCAAAGGCCACAGGGTCACTGCATGGAATAAGTCCACTACAGGGACAGGAACAGCCATTTCTGGTAACGTCTTCACAGACCTTCACACTCCAGAGATAAATGAGGTAGAAACGTGAAGCCCAAGTTCCCCAGATGTGCCAACTACAGTGCACATTTCGGGAGCAGTTCTCTCTGCCCTTGGGAGCGACAACAAGCCTGGAGCCGGCCTCTCCCTCCCCGGCGGACTCTGTGACTTACAGACACAGACAGTAGACGAGACAGTTGGTCACCACCTACCGTTTGACTTCTCACTATCTGCAGGCTTCATCTGAATGGGATGATGCATCTAGAAATACAAAAGTGAGAAAAGGTCAAGGCACATTGAATAACTGTATAGACGTTTCAGAAACCCCACACTATTAAACTTGAACACTGACATTGCTATAAGGACACACACATCATAATAATAACAAGACCTCTCCCAGGTAAAAGGAACCAAGTCCAAATGCACGCCCGTGTCTCAGGTGCAAGGACAAAACCTGTTTAGGGCACAGGGACACAGCAGTCGGACTTCAGTTCAAAACCTGGTTCTGCCACTCAACATGGTTTCCGCCTGTATCTTGGCGGTGGTTCTGGTCCTGCCGTTTATGATAGCTACATGATCTTGGACAAGTGTCTTAACCTCTCTGAGCCTTAGTCTCCTCGTCTGAGAAATGGAGATCACACCTGCACAGCAGGGCTGTGGAATTAGAGAAGGTGTATGTATAGTGCTTCATTAACAGGGCAGAGGATGTGCTAAGAAAAAAAAAGAGCTCGTTACTTTGTGTTATTCGACATTCAAATGCAGATTGTCTCTGTGTTCCTTCTGGCCGCTGCATGGATTTTTCTTAGGTCTCAGAGTTGTAAGAATCCGAATGTTTGGCTGTTGACTGATGCAGGTGCCATCATATAATTTTTATTAAACACAAAGTGTGGGGTAGACAGGAAGGAGAGAAGGAAGGGGGCCCAAGGGGGAGGCGGGAGGCAGGACCTTCGGGCCACGTCTGTTCAGGACCTATGTAGGAGCAGAAGGAGCCTGCCATGAACTGGGCGCCCCCAGCCCTGGAAGCAGTGCCCAGCACGCCCGCAGTGGGCCCGATCTGCAGACCCTACTCCAAGCACAGAGTGCTGTCACCATTTCCAATTAAAATAAATTCCTCAGACTGCTTTCAAAGGTCCTCTTGCCTCATATTTCATCCTACCCCAAGGAACGCCGGAGCCACGGGGTAGATGGAATCACTGGCTGTGCGGATGCTTTTATTATAATGGGTGCCATTCTCTCTGAACCTTTAATTTCCCCAGTGGACTTCCATCGCCTCCACGCCACAGCTCTGGGTTTTATCTAATTTAAATGAAAGGGGAATGGTACTTGGCTCGGGCACTTAAATGGTGGGAAATTATTATCAGGCAGTCAGGACCATGTGCAGCTAATGCCTGCCAGGGTCTTCAAAACACAAGAGGAAGAGGAAAGAGGGGGAGCCGTCAGGGACGAGAGGCCAAGTAATTCAGAGCTGCTTTGTTTATGCTGAAAGGCAAGATGCTCTTATGCACAGAACACAGGCCTTGACACGTGGGGCCTGCTCGTGTTCCCCCTCCGTCCACTAATCTAGTCGGTGTGCCGAAGAGTCTAGAGTGAAAATGAAACAGGTAGGGGTCAGTAAGTAGACCAGAGTTTTTCTAAAAGACTAGAATATAGCCCTGGCTGGTTTGGCTCAGTGGTTAGAGTGTCGGCCTCGGCCCGTGGAACAATGAGTCGTGGGTTCGATTCCGGTCAAGGGTGCGTATTTTGGTTGCGGTCCATCCCTGGCCCTGGTCGGGGTTGTGCAGGAGGCAACCAGTCAATGTGTCCCTCTCACGTCAATGTTTCTCTCTCTCTCCCCCTCTCTCCCTCCCATGCTATCTGAAGATAAATAGAAAAATATCCTCAGGTGAGGATTAAAAAAAAAGAGACTAGAATCTACACCTAAGCAGGCGGAAGTAAACTGTGGGAACTCCTGGGCTAAGGAATGTGGCCTCCGTCCCACAGGAATGGAGAAGATGACCAAATAAGTGAATAGATAAACGCTGGGGGAAGATGCACCGAGTCCTTGAGTTAGCTCTTCTTCCCGCACGGCTCATCCGCTGGCTCAGCAAGTACGTGTGAGGTTCCCACTGTGTCTCTGGCTCTAGGCTAAGGAGTGAGGAATGAAGGCCCAAGGGAGAAGTTCAGGCCCTTTGGGTGCTCACTGTGCAGTGGGGGAGGCTGACGTGTGAACAGCCCCCCAAGGAACATGGTAAGAGTTGCAGCAGACGCTGGAACGAGGTGGGCCGGGAGCCCGGGGGAGAGGCACTGCTTATGCCTGGTGAGGGAAGAGAGGGCTTCTCAGCAAAGGTGGTGTCCGATTCCTGTCCTGCAGGCCACGCTGGACTTGCCAGCGGGGGAGGAGACATGGAGTAGCCCACGTCAAGACACGGTGGTGAGGAAGAGCAGTTTCCCGTAGCAAGTCACCCAGAACCAGTAGGGTGGGGCACGGAAGAGGCCCAAAGGGAGTGGGCATCCAACTCTCGGGGGAGCTTGTGTACTAAGACATTGCAATTTTGTCTGAAAGTCAACAGTCAGGCACTGAAGATCTAAGCAGCCAAGGCAACAAGACCAAATTTGAACTCTAAAAAGGCCTTTTGGGCTACCATGGAGGAGGGACTGCAGAAGGAGACACGGGAGGCGGGAAGAACAGCAAAGAGGCTTCTGCAGACGTCTGCGTGAGGTGAGGCAGGCCTCCACCTCAGACCACCGGCTGGCTGTGGGGAAAAGCGGGAGAGAGAAGCCCAGGCTGGACAACTAGACATACTGTGGGATTATCACCCAAGTAGAGAAAACACAAGACAGTCATTTTGGGGGCGACCTGTGAGCACAGGGCTGCACGTGACACACTGCATGTGGCTGTGGGATTAGAGAGAAGGTGGGAATGTGCGTTTCAAGCTGCAGCAATTGCCAGCGGAAGCCACAGGCATGGGCGCAGCTGTCCGCAGAGGGAACGCGGGGGACGAGGCCAAGGGCCGGGCGCAGAACCACAGGCTCTGAGAGCATCAGGCGAAGGGCGGCGAGAGGAGCGGGGACAGCTGGTCTCCCGGGAGCCTCGCGGGGAGACTTTTAAGAACAAGGTGGTGCTGCTAGATACTGCGATGAAAACGCCCAAGTGTCCTTTCGATTTGGCAATAAAAGGGAATGAATGGGGGACATTCATCAAATGTTTCTGTAGGTTGGGGGGGGGGCAGAATGTGAGCTTGCAGAGAGTCAGAGAGTAATTGTGAAGATAATTCACAATAAGTGGATATGATGAATGTAGACTTCTATTGCAAGAAGAGCAGCTACCAAGGGGGGCCAATGGAGGAACCCTGATGGAGGACGGGATGGAGTCCTTCCTTCCCAGGTAGCAAGACCTGCACAGGTTAACGTGCTGAAAAGACACAGATGAGATCCACAGGTTCGAGAGAGGAAAGAGCAGGTAAGTATGCCTATACTGTGTGCGGGGCACAAATGGACTGACTAGGACTCCTTCCCGCAGGGAGCCTCATCCTGCTCCTGTTTACTGCGTCTCCCGATCGCATCACGGTAGCGGATATGCACACACACAGAAGGAAAAGGGGGCCAACGTTAGTGCGGGAAACGTTCAGACTCATCTGCGAAGTGCATGGAGGTCTGCGGGAGGAAATTCACGCGCTGTAATCCTGTAGGGACAGAATCATCCTACTTTCAAGTCAAGGGCCCTGGCAGCCATTCAGTCCAATGTTCTCAAGTTATAGGTCTGAGGGGATCAAGCGGCGTCACTAAGGACACACAGCTGGTTCACGATGGAGAGGGGAGCAGAAACCTAAGCTAGCTCCCTGCTCTGACCCAGTGCCGACTCCCCGGTCACGCTGCTTCTCCGCACGCCGCCCCACATGGGACTTGGACTCATGAGCCGGTGATGAAGAGCTGCACGCTTCCCTTGCCGGAGGCGCCAGACACTTGTCCTGAGATGCCTGCAATATCCCCTTAATGAAAGTAATCTTCCCTCCACTCAACTCCCCAAACTCTTTATCTATACAGCTTTATGACCAGTATTATTCTCAGGCTTGACTCTTGGTTTTCTCAGAGCGGTGGAGAGAATTAGCTCAGTCCGTGACCCAAGACTACCCAGAAGGCTCAGGAACACAGCAGTGGCAGGAGTCACGCATGCAAACTACACTGGTCAACGGACCACAGACTCGAGCGTCATCCCGGGAGATGACAATGGAGCTGAGCAATTCTTACTGCCGGGTGACCCCGTCACCACCCTAACATCTTAGTGTAACGCGCTACTCACGTGTCTGTGGAGACGCTGATGCAAACAATCCATGTAAACAAGCCTACTGCACTGCTGGTTGGATGAAAGTATAGCGCATGTAATTACGTGCAGTATAATACTGATAACGACAATAAACGCCTGTGAAACTGGTTTATGTACTTATTACAGTATGCCTTCTATCATTACGTTAGAGTGGACTCTTCCTACTTATTAAAAAACTAGTCTGCTATAACACCGTAGGCCGTGCTCTGCTGGCGGCAGCCTCATATGCTCCCGTGGACTGCGTCTCCTGATGGCATCATTTGGCCTTGTGCTTGCTTGAACCGCATGTTGATTTGGACAGTAACGAGCCGTACAGGCTTACAGCCTGGGAGCAACAGGCTACACCGTATTGTCTGGGTGTGGTAGGCTACACCATCCAGGTTGGTCTACGACGTCCACACAACCAGGAGCCTGCCTGACGACACAGTCCTCAGAAGGTGTGCCCGTCGTTAAGGGGCACGCGACTATGAGAAAGCATACTGCGACTGAAGTCTTGAACTTGACTTTGGTCTTTCCTAGGCTAAGAGGGGGTGACAGTTAACTTCATAGAGATTGCCACTGTCAGACCCCAGTGGATTCTGAACGGGCTGTCACCCCTGCTTCGGGTATGTGCTGAAGACAATTTAGATAATGTATGTAAAAGCCCCGCGACCTGCGTGGAGAGAGGTGTTCAATCAGACCTGCACTAAGAATGACTCATTATCATGAACAGTTCAGTGAGTTATACATTTCTGATCAGGTACAGGATGTAAATGTCAAGGAAGACACACAAAGAAATGGTTTGGAGGAATCCTTCTCAAAACGTTTCACTTCCTCGAAATCTCGCGACTCCAAAGACCGTCAGGAGATTTGTTGAACGTAGAGATGTTCCTGTAAAGGAGCAGGCATTCTAGCTTCCAGCTGTAACAGAGGGACCTTTCCCTAAACAGAAAATGGCCTCAAAGATTTGATCCAGTGT